TATATATATATATATACTACAAATGGATCTTATCTTTTTTCTGGGGATAGACTATTCATAACACTCATTTTTTTACCATTAAAATCACCTCTAAAACTTCATAACCCAATAACTTAACACTACTGCCAAATACTACTACTTCTTCACAAAAGTCAATTGGGAGCTCAGCTAAAAATCAGCCCATTTTTCCACCCAAAAGTAGTCCCTAAATCAACACTCCAAACCCAGCAAAATAAATTGCAACTTTTAAACCTGAAATCAAGCTAAAAAAAACCCAGCTATAGCAACACCATAAAACATCCTTTAAATAATCGTTGTTATTAGAGTTCCGGTCGAGGTTCAGTCACCGGCGAGATTTTCAACCACTGATTTCGGTTCGAAGCCGGCTTTGGTCTTTAATATTTCAAAGGGTGTTGACGTCATCATAGTCTTTGAGGTCAAGGTCCACTTTTACTCTCACTGTAATTCTTTTATTTTATTTAATAATCATAAATTGGTAAGCTTTATTATTAATATTTTAGTGCTTAAATTTGTGCTCTACTGAACAATGTCTTCTATGTTACAGTTCTATTAGCTTGATGTGATTGTATTGTTGTTTAAAGCATTTCCATTTTAGGATTATCTCTATGCTTGATTATAGGAATAATAGGGACATTATAGTAATATCTTTAGTTACAGTAATATCTAAATGCTACACTTCTCAACAACAAATTTCATAATTAGTGACTTTACAATAATCTCAAACTTAGGATTTGAACACTCATAAATACCGCTAGTACACTTTTAGGCGCGTTTTAAACTTATTATCGTGATTATGTATACGTTCGCGTGATATAATAATAATTTCCAAAATAAGTCAAGGTACGCGTTCGTGCGACTTTGGCCAAAAATAATCTTAGTATATAATAAAGCATGATTAGTTGTGTACACGTGCGCGTGACATGATTTTAGTAAATAAAACGGATTTACACACATGTGATCCGTTTCAAAGATAATTTTATACTTTAATAATTAAAAGCGGATAGATAAAATATAAAAATCAATAAATCACAGTATGTCCAAAATTAATACAAGCCAAGTTGTAGTCAATAAAGTGACCGTGCTAGAACCATGAGACTCGAGGAATGCCTTATACCTTCTTCCCGATTAACAGAATTCCTTACCCGCACTTTATTTTCGCAGACCAATAATAATAGATTCAAATCTTCCTTTGACTAGAGATTCAAATAAAAGGTGACTCGGAACACCCAAAAAATCAATTCCAAGTGGTGACTCAGTAAATAAAATAATTTGTATTCAAGTTTGTCACTTTAATTGGAGAAACTCTTTAAACCACAATCCATAATAACATATTATCTTTTTGGGGGTAGAAAATGGGTGTGACAACGTTGTTTCTTAGATTTCTAAGAAATAGGTAAATTACCAAGAACCACATAATATCCAGTCACAAACCTTATGGAAATGTGGCAAGCAACCCAGTCAGAATCACATAAGCCTTCAAGGAGAAATCAGGAACAACACTAAGCAGAATGCCTTGGGCAGGATCATTAAGGAGTTATTTGAGAACATGTAAACCATCCAACATGTGGGGCACTCTAGGAGACACAAAAAATTGGCTGAGATATTGCACTGAGTAAGAGATATCATGCCTGGTATGCTAAAGGAAATTCAGCTTGCCAATTAATCTTCTATAGACAGTAGGATCAGGAAGAGCTTCCCCTGAATCAACAGATAATTTGACATGAGGATCAAGGGGTGTGAGAGCTGGTCTGACCTCTGAACAGCTGAATTCAGAGAGGAGCTCTTTGATGTACTTTTGTTGGTTGATGAGAAACCCCTGATCCACCTTAGAGATCTCAAGACCCAAAAAATAATGAACAGTCCCAAGGTCCTTAATCTTGAATTGATGATCAAGGAAGGGTTTCAGACTTAACATTTCAACATCATCATTGCCATCCAAAAGAAGATCATTGTGATGACCCATTAAATTATCTTTAAATTTAATAAGTAATTCTGTATTTTAAGACCTCGAAAAGTACCATTTATCATTCCTCGACTTGCGTGCATAGTCCGTACAATTTGCTAAAAAGCTTTTATGTGAAAAATGGATTAAAATATGAAATAGAGCTTTAAAAACTCAACTGAGTTGACTTTAGTCAACATTTTGAGTAAACGGATCTGGATAAGTGTTTTGATAATTTCGGTAGGTCCGTATCATGATTTGGGACTTGGGCGTATGCCCGGAATCGAATTCCGAGGTCCCTAGCTCGAGATATGGAATTTTGACGAAAAATTAAAAGCTTGAAAGCTTAATGAATTTTAAGAAATTACTGATGTTGGATTTATTGGCCTCGGGTCCGTATTTTTGTTACGGAGATCGGTGTAGGTACACTATAATATCTATGACTTGTATGCCGAATTTGGTAAGAATCAGAGTTGATATGACGTGATTCGGACATCTGGTTGTAAAAACATAAATTTTAAAGTTTTCTTGGAAATGTCCTTTGATTTGGTATCTGATTCGTAGTTCTTGGTGTTATTTTGGCGATTAGATCGCGCGGGCAAGTTCGTATGATGTTTTAGGACTTGGGTGCATGTTTGGTTTGGAGCCGCGATGGATCGGGTTGGTTTCAGGTGGTTAACAGATCATTTTTGGACTTGGAAAAAACTGCAGAAATCTGCTTCTGGTATCCTTCTTCGTGTTCGCGAGAGTAGGCTCGCGTTCGCGAAGAAGAAACTAGAGGCAAAAGAAAATTACTCTTCGCGTTCGTGAAGAGGAGGGCGCGTTCGTGAAGGCTTGAGGTGCGATGCTTTGCATTTGCGATCGAAGCCTCGTGTTCTCGAAGGGAAAGAGGCTTTCCAGGAAAATTAGCCTTCGCGTTCGCGAAGGCTAAGCTAGGCAAGCATCGCGTTCGCGAGGTAGCCCTCGCATTCGCGAAGAGTAAAATTGGACAGCACAAATTTGTGCTTTGCGAACGCGAGGCACTGACTGCGTTCGCGAAGGGTAAAAATTCCAGAAACAGAACTTAAGTTTTGAAAATGGGGTTTCGACCCATTTTCAACTCTTTTCCATTTTTGAGCTCGGGTAAGGCGATTTTTGGGCGATGTTCACGAAAAATTATTGGGGTAAGTGTTTCTTATCCTATATTAATTATATTTAATGATTTCATACTTATTTATATCATGAATCTGTGAATTTATGAAAGAAAAATCAGATTTTTATAAAATCTTCCAAAAACGAAAATTTAAGATTTGAAGGTCCATTTGACATCGGAATTGAATAATTTTTGTATGCTTGGACTCGTCTCATAATGCGTGTTCGGATTTCGTACATTTTTCTGAGATTTGAGACGTGGGTCCCACTATCGAATATTTTAATAAATTTTGAATTTTTATCCAAAAAATTTATAAATTCATATGGAATTAATTCCTATGATTAGTATTGAATATATCGAATTGTTTGTGAATAGATTTGAAGCTTTCGCAGATAAATTTAAAAGGAAAAGCTATGGTTGAATAATTGATCAGAATTTGCAAAGCGAGGTAAGTGTCGTGGTTAACCTTGACTTGATGGAATAAAACCCTTAATTTAATTATTTTGTGAATTGCATGTGGACGACGTATAGGCGAGGTGACGAGTGACTATACGTCATCAAATTAATTATTTTCCTGCTTACTTAAAAAATCATAAATTATTTTAAATCCTAAATTAATTATTATAATAACTGTTTCTCTCATATTCTTTGTCAAATATTAATTCTTGAATTCCTGCATTAATTTTTACATGCTATTTGAATTATGTGTTTTAATTGTTATTTGACATTTATCATATTAAATATTAAACTGCCTATTTTCCCCCTAATTTTCCATAATAATCTGCTATTTGTAATTTTTTGTTTCATCATTAAATTATAATTATTGTATGCTTGTTGTCTTATAATTTTATATTAATTGTTGCATTTATTGGGAAAATTTCTTCTATAAGAATTGGTAAATGAATATATCGGAGGAGCGGGTTGCACGCCGCAACAAAATTATTTATAATGAATATAATGGAGGATCGGGTATGGAGGATCGGGTTGCATGCCGCAACAGACTTATGAAAAGTCCATATTGGAGGATCGGGTTGCANTCAATTGGTTATGACTGCTGAGTTGGCTACAATTATTATAAATGAGTTACCTGATTTATTTCTATTATTGTTTTTGTTACTAATATTGCGTACGGATAATGTAAGTGTCCCGCCTTAGCCTTGTCACTACTTCGTCGAGGTTAGGCTCAACACTTACCAGTACATCATCCGGTTGTACTGATACTATATTCTGCACTTCTTGTGCAGATTTAGGAGTTTGTCCCAGCGGCGTGCCATAGACTTGCTCGAATTTTAGCTATTTAGAGGAGACTTGAGGTATAACTGCATGGCGTCCGCAGTTCTGAAGTCCCTGCCTAGTTTACTTTAGCTATGTATTTATTTTCAGACAACTTTATTTTATTCAGACCTTTATTTGTATTATTCTAGAAGCTCGTGCACTTGTGACACTAATTTTGGGATGGTATTTAGACACCGTTATTTTTTTATGGATTATTTCACTATATTTCAAACTTTGCTTCCGCTTTTGGTTCCTTGATTATTAATAATGTAAAGAGTGTTTAAAAATTAGTTAATATTATTCTAACGTTGGCTTGCCTAGCAAGTGAAAAGTTAGGCGCCATCACGGTCCGAAGGTGGGAATTTCGGGTCATGACAATCATCCACATAAACAGCAAGCAAAACAATAGAAGTTGGAGTCACCTTGGTAAAAAGAGGAGTAATTCTTACTAGGAGAATAGCCCCTTGAAACAAGAGACTCTGAAATCTTGGTAAACCAATGCCTAGAAGCTTGTTTTAGCCCATAGAGTGACTTCTTTAATTTGCAAACTAAAGAAAGATTAGAAGAAGTAGACTCAACAGATAAACCCAAAGGGATCTTCATGTAAACTTCTTCATAAAGGTCAACATGGAGGAAGGCATTATTGACATCCATTTGGTGTACATTCCAATTGTGTTTGATAGCAAGGGTAAGAAGGCATTTGATGGTTGTGATCTTAACAACAGGGCTGGATGTTTCAAAGTAATCAATGCCCTCCTTTTGTGAATCACCCCTAATCACTAATCTTGCCTTATACTTTTCAATGGACACATCAGACTTTTGTTTGATTTTGTACACACATTTACAAAGGATGACCTTCTTACCAGGTGGAAGACGGACAATGTCCCAGGTGGAGTTGGCATCTAAGGCCTGGAATTCCTTTTCCATGGCTTCCTGCCAGTCAGGGTGTGGTGCAGCTTGCTAATAGTATTGGGGTTCAGACGGTAGAGAGACATGGAGTTGAACAGATGAACAAACATAATCCTTGAGATAGGTTGGAGCATGGGAGACCCTGGTGGACTTCCTAAGAGGAAGAGGTTGTGAAGTAGGAATGGGTGAAGGAAAGGAAGGATGATGAGGGGACTAACTAAATGAGTGAGAAGGTGACTGACTAAAGGAGTGAGAGCAATGAATAGGTGAATGAGGAGGAACAGAAGGAGAATGAGGAGGTACAGAGGAAGTAAGAGAACAAGAAAAAGTTTGAGAATCCACAAAAGGATCAGAAATGAAAGGGAAGCCAGATGAGGGTGAGGAAGAATGGTAAGGAAAAATGTGTTCATGAAAAATCACATCCCTAGAGTAGAAAATGGAATGATTAGCTAGACTTAATAGCTTGTAGCCTTTATTCCCAAAAGGGTACCCCAGAAAAAGAGCAGGACATGCTCTTGGCTGAAACTTATCTCTATTGACCTTTGATATACGAGGATGTTACTCACTGCATTGGAGCGGGTTGGATGAGATGGAGGCTAGCGTCGAGGGTTTTATGTAACAAAAATATGCCGTCTAGACTTAAGGGCAAGTTTTACAGGGTGGTGGTTAGACCGACTATGTTGTATGGGGCTGAGTGTTGGCTCGTCAAGAAGTCACATGTCCAAAAGATGAGCGTAGCTGAAATGAAAATATTGAGATGGATGTGTGGACATACCAGGAAAGACAAGATTAGGAATGAAGTTATTAGGGACAAGGTGTGAGTGGCATCGGTGGAAGACAAGTTACGGGAATCGAGAATTCGATGGTTTGGGCATGTGAGGAGGAGAGACATAGATTCCCCGGTCAGGAGGTATGAGAGGTTGAACATGGCGGGCTTGAGGAAAGGCAGGGGTAGGCCAAAGAAATATTGGAAAAAGGTGATTAGGCAGGACATGTCGGTGCTTCACCTAACCGAGGACATAACTAGCGATAGGAAGGTATGAAGGTCGAGGATTAAGGTGATGAGTTGACATGTAGTTGGGACTTCCTCCTAGGTTTACCAATAATACTAGTAGTACCCTTGTTGTTGGTTGAGAGATACTTTCTTTTAGATTGTTAGTGTATCTGATACTTAGCTACCACATCCATTATTATTTGTTTTAAAATTGTTACTAGAAATTATTGCTCCTTGACTGTTACTATTTGATGCTACTTTTTCTCCCCTTTTATTGGAAATTATTGCTCCCTGATTGTTATTACTTGATGGTACTTTTTATCCTATTTTTCCTTATTGTCTTTTGTCTCCCTCCTCCCCCTCTTTCTTTCTTCCCCCCTCTTTCATCTACTTCTTTTCTTTTCTTCCTTGCCACCTTTTCTTAAGCCGAGGGTCTGTCGGAAACAACCTTTCTAGGTAGGGGTAAGGTCTGCGTACACACTACCCTCCCCAGACCCCACATGTAGGATTATACTGGGTTTGTTGTTGTTGTTGTTGACGATATTTGATATAGTGGCAAAACATAGATAGCCAAAGGTTCTTAAATGAGCATAAGTAGGAGGATGCCCATGTAGTTTGTGATAAGGAGAGAGATGTTGGAGGATAGTGGAAGGAAACCTATTAATGAGATAGGTAGTCGTGAGTACACATTTACCCCAATACTTAATTGGA